AAATTGGCTTGTTTTTCAACGTGGTGCCCAAGGGACGAAAACCCAATCCCGAGGGCAAACACCGAGGGGGGGGGGGGGGGGGGGTTCGAACAGGACCGCGTCGCCCCGGTTTTCTTGCCATCTTTCTTTGTGCTTGTTGGGTTTTGACGTTGTCGAGATGGGGGGGAGGGGGGAGGGGAGCGCCGGGGCCCCGCTTCTCACCATCCTCTTTTTTTTGTCCCTGAAATGAACGTTGTCGCCCGGATGGCTCGAGTTTCGGTGTGTACTACTTCTGGGACATTTTCTGTCCCCCGTTTTTAGCTTGTGATAGAGAGACCCCACGGCACATGCGTCTGGCTGGAGCGGGAGCGAAAGCAAGGCCAAGACCTATTTAGCTTTTCACAGGCTGATGATTGCCTTATCACGGGTGCGGTGTTTGGGCGTGTTGTTTTCGTGAGGCGGTGCCTGTTTTTCGGTGTCGCCGGTTTTACAGCGACTGATTTTTTTGTTGTTTTTCTGTTGTTCAACTGGCGGAGGAAAATAGGGGTCGCCCGCACCTACCTGCTCGTGTGCAGGCATCCAACCAGAGTTGGTCTTCCCTGCTGCCGCCATGCTTGTGTCTTTCTGTCGAGATCGCTTTCGTCCGGTGCAGAACAACTGCCCGCCGCTTCGGGATGAATGTTCGGAAATAAATATGACAAGGTTTGACTGGATCTTTTTCTCTTTTTTTCTCGGCCACAGAAGTCTCCGTCGATCGATTTGTTGTGTGGACAGGAGAACGACGCTTCGTTTCTTCGGTGCGGGTGTGTGTCGCTCGTTGTGGTAGCGCCCCTGCAATGAGGGGGAGTGCTGCTGTGTTTATTTTGCGTGATTAAGTGCGGCCACTGGTTAAGGGACACATGATGAGTGAGCGGCAGCGATGATACGGATTTGCAGAAGTTTCAGTTCGCGCCAAGGGGTGTGTGTGTGTGCGGTTTTTCGGGGTCCCGAGAACGATGTGTGACGCGCCGCGGTGGTGTTGGTTTTTCGGGCTATCGAGTGGTGGTGTCTTTGGTGTTGTCTATCTGTGCCTGGCTTCCTTTTCACCTTCTCCCGAACTACTGTAGGTAGTGCTGGCGGATGAGAGAAGACTCATGGCTTGGGCAAGACAAGGAAACAAGAGAGAGCGTGTGTGATAATGTATGCACAGAGAGGGAGAAACATACTTATGTAGTATAGGGAGCGGAACGGTTGACGTTTACCTACACTCGTCCAGCCCAAATTGATCGAAAACTTGGACGCTTCAGACGTTTTTTTTCGTGTGTCCTATCATAGTTTTGCTTGTGTTTTTGCTATTGGTCGGATACGTCCGCTGTATCCCAGTTTTCCCCCAGTGCTGTACTCCAAATTATTCTGGTTCCAGTAAAGGGGGGGGGGGGCGCGATTATGGGGAGGGAATGGGGGGTGTGGTCATTGTCGTGCATGCTGTAGCCGTTAGACCATTGGCCTCGCATCTCTACAAAGCCGGGACGGAGCACGCCGGGGTCTCACCGGACCAGGCTCTCACACCACCAAGCGCGAAGGGCCGTGAGGGGGGGGTTACCCAGTACAATAGTGACACCGTGATCCGTTCTTGTTACGTTCTTGCACTCTTCACATCCCGACAAGGCTGGAACGGATCACGCCGGGCAGCGTGGTGGAATGTGGGGTTCCCACAACCCTGGTTCTTGTGCGGATACGTCGACAGCAGCAGCAATGGTAGGCAATGATATTGGCATTTGGAGAAGAGCGTCGAGCCTGAGTGTTGTTCGGGGTAACCGGGATTGGCGACGGTGGTACAGGGGTCTTCATCTCGCAATGCACAAAAATTACCGGTACAATGGGGCGGTAGGTAACCGGAATTTCCTCTGTAATTATTGTATGACCCCAGGGGGCTACATCCGAGGGCCCCCTTCAAACACAGCAAGCAAAGTTGACACAAGAAGAACCACGAACGACTACAAGAAGAGAAGTATCATCGCCTAAAGCCCAGACTCTGTATAATCGGATGACTTCGAGGGCGGGGGCGGATCTGACAGCGATGAGAACTCAGACTCGGATTCCGGAGTAGAGGTCCTGGGTTAGCGATGAATGGGGTTCGCCAGGCCATATCCCTAAGGATTAGACGAGGCATTTATTCTGTTGTTTGTTGTATTCCTTTTGCGCGCGTGTGTACCTGACGGTGGTAGTGCTTAGCTGATGCATGTGTCGTCGTCGTTGTCATCGTCCACCGTGGTCGTTGTTGTCATTTTCTCCAGATGAGAAAACCTCACCCACTACCCCGGTACTCCGGAATTACTCATACCCACCAAGAACAGACGGAAACCTAGCATCTATCTGCGGTCACAGGCTGTAGACTACGCAGTGAGGCCCCAAAAGGACGGTACATCAAGGGAGGGATTGCAGTGCCCAGCGTTGCGCTTTGTCCACAGAAGAGTCGCCGGTAGCGGCGACGAAGAACGGCCTTTGTTGGGTTGTCCTCGATGTTTTTTCAGGAGTTCAGTTACCTACGACACGGTCCGAAAGGCATCTGAGAAAAAGGGCAGGACGAGTGAGTTTCTTTGTCGCCACCCGTGGTTACCACGCAACGTACAACGTCCCGTAAAGTCACTCGTCGTTGTGGTGGCTTCACGAGTGACACCGACGGCAACACCACCACCAGCAGCGCATAGTGAACATGACTCTCTCCACAACGAGGTCATCCCGGAAAAAAAATGAAGGGCGAAAGAAAGAAGACCCCGGTGTCGTGGTTGCATGCATGCCTGCATGTATAATGTGTACAATATTTTCCCGTATTTCGCGAATGTATATGCCTACGTGGGGTGTCGCTCGCAATCGTTCGACAGGCAGGCCAAGTTCCGAACAACAGAACGTCTCGCGACACGCTCCTCCCTCTCGTAATCTACGAACGAGAGGAGGCGGACGAGGGTAGGAAAAAAACTTCCGCCATCACCGCATGTCGTGAGGACATGAGGCCAGATTTATTTGTGTTTGGGGGTTGGGACCTCTTGGGTCCTTTCTAGTATTCTCTCTACGTCACTTGTAGTGAGTGGAACTCACTCTCCCTCCTCTCTCGCCTCTCTCCCACGCCCACACCGATGCGCCTGTAGCTCCTGTTGGAGACTGCTAAACCAGCTTGCCACAGGGACAACCTACATTTGACTGCGGTATACTCGCTCCCCATTCCGTCCACTCGTTTGAATACTTTCCAGTCCGAAAAATCAACATGGCAAGCGTTTGACTTATCAAAACCGCAAACTGTGCATGCACTCGAGACCCCTTACCATAGCCACCGCCGTAGCCACCGCCGCCGTGAGCCCTGCGGATCGCCATCCAGCGAGGAGGGCCATGGTACTTAGGGGTGGAAACCGGGCTGACCTCCCTCATCCTCGTCGAACACCTCCGCGTAGTGCTGGTGGGCGGGGTGGACGAGAGGGCCACCGCGGCGACCACCGGCTCCGCCACCGGGCGCGTCGTCGTTGTTCTCCATGTGAGCCGGGGGAGGGAGGGGAGCGCAGGGGTGGGGGCGGCCGGCCATGCGGTGCTGCTGGCGGTGGTAGTCGCGGTGGTGGTGGCGGCGGAGGTGGAGGGCGGCGGTGTCATCGTTGTTATTGCTGTTGTTGTTGTTGCCATGGCCGTGGCGCTTGTGGGCGGCCTTCTTCTCGGCTTGGAGCATGGCGCGGAGACCCTTGCCGTTGACGAGGCCGAGCTTGGCCAGCGGCAGGGGCGGACGTCCAGGGTGACGAGCAGGGGTCGCACCTCGCGGGGGCGGAGCTGGATGCCGCCGGCGACGAAGGCCTTGTGGATGAGGTTCTTCTTGACCTCAGGCGCAGCGTCGTCGTTCTCCTCCCCGTTGTCGTTGTCGGGTGTGGAAGTCTCGGCGGCGATGGGCGCCGCGGCAGCAGGCGCGTCCGGCTCGGCAGACACGAAGCCATCGTTCCACTTCTTCTTGTCGTCCCCCACGCTCATCAGTTCCATCCCGGCGGCGACCGATTCGGCGAGATCCTCGATGTTCTTGCCGGCACCAAGAGGAACCTTCGATACCTTTGCGTTGTTGGCGACTCTGGCCTTCACTCGAGCCAGCAGAACCTTGGGAGCGAGGCCCTGCTTCACGAGGGGTTGCGGGTTCAGCTTGAGGAAAGCCAGGGTCTTGATGAGCTGGGGCGGGATCATCGAGGGCACGCCGTTGCACTCGCACAGGTTTCGGGCGGCGACCTTGTACAGCCTCGCTTCGGGGTCGGGATTGTGGGCTGAGGGTGCATGTAAAGAAGGAAGAGGGAAGGCGTGCACGGGGTGGGGAAGGAAAGGCAAGGGGGGATGGAGCGGGGTTGCGTTTGTGGGGGAAAAGGAATTCTTGGCGATGCAGGTAAAACGGGGGCAACGTCTGGACACAACAGCAGATAGATTCGTTATCTAAATCGGAAATCATTGACGACGGCCTTCGCATTCACTATGTAACCTTTTTGAATCTATTCAATAAACCAGAAATCATAGACTACGGTTCGGATTCACTATATATATATATAATAATTGTGTCGGAACATATGCATGTTGTGTATGATGGTATGTAGTCTACATGCACATCGTATTGCATCGATGTCATATACATCCACAATCAACAATCGATCAATCCTGCCCAAGGGCGATATGGTGGTGGTGGTGGTGGTGGTGGTCCATGGGGCCATGATGAAAAATAGTAAAGAGACCTGCAGCAGTACAACTCCTAATCTATTTATAACTAAGAACCGCAGCCATATGGTGGGAGGTCAACCTCTAGAATCAGGTCCGCTGGCAACAATTGTTTGTCCTCCGGTGGTTAGTCCGTCGTCTTGTCAACTATCTATGTTACCGTGTCCACGTACGTACGTAT